ATACACCTGTAGGGGATTCAGTTTGCAGAATAGTCACATCACGGGTCCATTCATTCATTCAATGCACACTATAAGCCTCTGTCCTCCAGATGCCCCCTTAAAATTCAGAGCAACAGAGAAAAAGGGCACCCTCCTGTGCCTCAGGGAAAGGGCTCTGGCAGGTAACTGGGAGCTGGTCCTAAGGACATCTCAAGGATGCCACAGATGCCTCTAGGGATGCTCTGAGGTCCCTGCAACCATGGCATGGGTGGGCACCAGGGAAAAGCCAGAGGGTAAGTTCTGGGGGTGGCTGAGACCTGAAGTCCCCACATTCCCTGGCCTCAAAGAGCTGCCTTGTTCCCAGGGCTTTCATTATGGTGCCCCTGGCCTAGCCACCCCCAGCAGCCATGAGCCACTCCCCTCTCAAGGCCACTATTGACACGGTTGACGCCACCAGGCTGGGCAGTGAGGCTGGCGGCTCCCCGCGAAGCAAGTTCCACACATACTTCTGGGTTTCAGTCAGCTAGCTCTGGGCACTGGGGTAGCCAGCAAAGCCCCGGCCAGGCCCTGGGAGCAGGAGAGTGCAGCAGGGCTAAAGAGGCCAAGGCCTGGGTTGGGGCAACATTCCAGCAGGAGCCTCAGCCTGACCTCCCCCTTCCTGGCAGGAGCAAGATGTGGGGAAGGCCAGGGTGGGCCCTGGGAGGAGGGTGCCATGGGCAAACAAGGTCTTTGGGAAGCTGCCAGGGGATGGGGTCACACTGTCCTCCTCCAGCCTGACCCCTCACAGCTGGGCTGGGCTGGGGAGGGGACCAACAGGCCAGGGCTGGGAATCCTTCCCACATGACCCAAATGGTCAGAGGGTCCACAGCCCACATGTCTGGCTTCCAAGTGGCCTCTGAATCATCATTCCAGATCTTTCCACATTTTGGGCAGCCCTTCCCAAGCTCCCTTCTGAGATTCTCGTCCCAAGGCCAGACAGCCCTGAAACCTCTGTACACTCACCCTAAACCTTGAGTCCCCAGGGGAGCCCAGTGAGGGCTCCATGCAGGGCAGCTAGCCATTCTTCCCCCTCTCTTCCCACACAGGGGAGGGCCCAGCCTGGACTACTCTGGTCTTAAAACCTCTGGATTCATTCAACTGTCTACAGGGTCTCAGGGGATATTTAGTGAGGATATAAAATAGTTAACAAACCTACAAATGAACAGATAATCCCACAAACGACTGCCCTAGAGTTTAGTCTTTCTAGGTTCCAGCCCAGGCAGGCCCTACGGACCCTGCAGCACACTCATGCCCAGCGCCTCTTATTCCAAAGCCAGACCCACCATTTTTGCCCGAGGTAGCCCCTGCACTGCCTAGGACCTGAGTTCTTACTTTTATTAACCTGAGCGACGCATTTCATCAGCATCCACTCCCTGCCTGCTACAAGCCAGTGGGAAAGCAGGTAGAGCAGTGAGGGGGGCTCTGCTGGCTTCAAAGCTTGCTCGTGGTACTGCCACGTATGTGTAGGAGTCACTGGGCAAGTAACCTCTCTGTGCCTCCATTTCCTCTGCTTAGAGAAAGTGGACTGTACGAGTAGCTATACCTTAATGCATTCAACGGCTACATTTACTGTGCGCTTACTACCTGCAGGTGCTAAATATAAAACACAGAAAGAAGGTCCTGCTCTTGTGAAGCTTAAATGGGGTGGAAGGGGCAACAAGCACACAAATACATGTCAGATGGTGACAAGAAAAAACTGAATCGGTGTAGAGGACAGCGAATGTCAGGCAGAGTAGCAGAACCGTTGGGGCCTGAAGGAAGTGAGGCAGAAGGGTCACACAGATATTTGTGGGACAAGTGTTCTAGGCAGAAGGAACAGCAGATGCAAAGGCTCTAAGGAGGGAGTGTGTTTAGTTTGTTCAAGAAACAAAGACCAGTGTAGCTGGACTGAGCAAACAAGGGGAAAGTTGGCTGGAGGAGGAATTCGAGAGGTAGCGGGAGAGGCCAGATCTCATAGGGCCTTGTGGGCTACAGTAAATCAGGGGCTCGGTCTGACTGTGAGCAACATGGACAGTGCGGAGAGGTCGTGAGCAGGGGAACACCTGAGAATCTCTTGGGAAACTTGGTGCCTAGCACAGTGGGCACTCAATAAATGTGAACTATCCACATTACTTTGTCATCATCTGGCCTGGCACCCCAGCAGACCTCCCTCCCCAAACTCCAAGCCCCAAACTCAGTCACCTTCTGCCACCCTCCTTCCACCCAGGCCAGGCCTCAGACCCACAGATCCCAACTTGCCTGCACTCAGCCTGAGAACAGGCCTGGGCCAAGCCTGGTGGGGGCCAAGACTCCCCATTCACAGGGAGCTTGGCCTAGGGCATGGGGGGAAGGGGTCCATCTCTGTTCTTTCCAGCCTCCACCTCCCTCTATGGACTGACCTGCAGCCCTCCCTATGGAAATCTCCAGGGCACAACCCCCTCCCAGCAGCAGGTCTGGAGCAAGGGGGGCAGCAGGGGGTGGGCAGAACAGCCAGTTATGTCAAGTGGAGGACTGAGGTAACGTTGCCCCTGAGGGAAGGGGAGGCTCCTCCATTTCCGGCCAGCTCACAGCCTCCCCAGTGAGGAAACCCAGTTGAGGCAGGAAACAGGTATCTCAGTGACTTCCCTCCTCAGCTTTGGAAAACACTGTAATCACCATGGCCTCCTCAAGACTCCTATCTCCTGGCAGGGCGGGCCCCAAGAAAGGAAGGACTAAGGCTCCAGCAGGAAGAAAAGGGGTCAGCAGCCCAAGGCAGGCCCTGAATCACCTAGACCTGGCCCCCCTTCCCCAGCAAGCCTCCCCACCTCCACTGAAATTACTCCCACACTTAATCACAGACCACTATTTCCTCTGTCTCCTGCCCCTCCCGAAGTCTTGAGCTCCCTAAGGATCATCTATCTTATCCTCCTCCTATATCCTATCCTCACCCACTCACTACTGGCTTATGGATCTGAACTGAAGGGCAGAAGAGATAAAGGGCAAGTGGGCACGAAGAAGCCCAAGGCTTGCTGGGGCACTGGCTAGGAACCTGATGTCATTTAAACTTACCACAAACTTCTTACCACTATTTTACAGATTTGAAAACTAAGGCTCAGAGGGAGGAACTTGCCCCAGATCACAGAGCTGGAAAATGGCAGAGCTGGGATTCAAACTTGAGTCTGTGAGCCTCCAGAGGCCAAGCTCTTTCCAGGCCCCCACCATTAGCCTGGGGTGGGACAGTAAAGACCTTGATGTGGTTGCTGAGGAGACTCTATAATCTCACAGGATCGAAGCTGCCTATTTGCTGATCTCAGTTCTGGGAAAGGACAGACAGGGCCTGATCTTGCTCACCCATAAACCCCAGCCCCTAGCCCGGATCCAAGTGCACTGGTGCACAGTAGGTGCTTAGCGAATATCTGCCCAATGACAATGAATGAACTCTGAACACCTGCTGTCAGGGGATGCGTCTCAATGAAGATGTGTTGAATGAACAAGTGAATGAGATGACTGGATTTGGGAATTTCTATGGAAATTCCTCCAGCACACAAACAGCTCCTCACCCCCTCCTCACTCCTGCCACTGTAGAACCCAGGCATCCAGGAGCCCCTCATCTGGAGGCAAAGCTACGGGAGGGTCAAAAAAGGCAGACAGCCCATGTGCCGGGTTGGTGCCTACTTTTTGGAAAAGTGAAGATCAGTGTTAGGAGCTGCAAGTTCAGATCAAGACTGGGAAGCAACAGGATGGGCCTTGCTGAATGTGTTGGGGTGAGAGGCTGAGAAAAAAGGATTAAGGAAGCTGCCCAGATTTGGGGGAGGGGGGGTGTAGGAGAGGTGCTAAGTGGGTGGGGCCCCAGAGGTGAGGGTCAGGTCTGGAGTGGGGGTTAACAAGTGACTCAGGAGGGCAGAGGTGAGAGGGAGCCAGCAAGGACAGGGAGTCAGTCACTGGGTAAACACTGGCCAGCTTTAAAAAAGTCCCTCTCTTGGCTCTGATAGCATGGAGGTAGGGGCAGGGACTGCCCTGGACCACCTCAAAAAGGGTGGGGGTGCCTCTGTGGCTCCCCACAGCAGGCCCAGCTCCTCAGATGTGCCCCCACCCACATCTACCACCAGCGCGGCTGGCTGACCCTGCCCCACCCTCCTGGAGTTCACTCAGGTCCTCACAGCCTCTCCTGGCCAAGTATTCTCTTTTCTCTGCAGGGGCCCCTCCAAGCTCAGGGCAGGGGCTGGGCGGTAGGGGCAGGCCTGCCCTGCACCTTGAAGACCTGGGGAGAGGAAAGCCGAGGAGGCAGGTCCACGGAATGCCCACCACACAGCAGGCCTAGCACCACGCACTTTCCTGAGCATTCCGTCCAGTCCTACCACCCACCCTTCGGCTATGCCCGTGGCGGCCTCGCTTTCTAAGCTCCCTCTGGGCATCTGGGCTGGTCTCAGAGAGCTTAATTAGTTGCTCCAGGTCACACAGCTACACAGGGACGAGCAGGGATTGACGCAAGTCCTGGGCGGTAGGACTCTAGTCTGGCGGTGTCACACGGTCTCAGTCGTGTCCTGAACGGCTCTTCACTTGTGCTTGCCTGGTTCCAGCTCCCCGAGGGGGCATTCGCGTGGTCAAGTTCCAGCGAAGACTGATCGAGTCTCCATCACCCCTGAGAGCCCCTTTGCCAAGTTGGCACAGAAAGGGGTGCCCTCCCTTGCCCATCCACGTTCCCACCCTGCTCAGAAGTTTCTGCCTGGTCCCTAAGAATGGAAGGCCGAGAGTGCCTTGGAGATTCGGCAACGTGGCTGGGCGACCCACGGGCTCCCACGCGGGAAGGCCCCGCCCCCGGCCCCACACTGGGTTCCCTGGGCTTCCCTCAGGACAGCCCCGCGACGGAGAGTGGCGCCGGCCTGTGCCGACCCGGGGTCCCTGACGGGCGCCGCCGTCCAGGACCAGAGTCCCAACAGCGCAGCTTCGGCGCCCTCGCCAAGTTGGCGGGCGCGGCGAGCAGGGCCCGGGGCGCCCCCGGTCCGTCCGCCCCGCACACTCACCGCGAGCAGCAGCCCGTGCAGCAGCAGCGCCAGCAGGAGCGCGCCCGCCGCCCGCCGCCCCATGGCCCGGCCCGCTCCGCTCACTCGCACACTCGGCGTCCGCCCGCAGCCGCCCGCTCGCCAGCCCGCGGAGTCCCTCGGACAGCGCGGCCCGCTCTCGCCACCCCCACCCCTCCCGCCGCCCGCCCCGCCCCGCCCCCGTGGCCGCCCGCCCCGCCCCTCGGCGCCGGGCCACGCCCCCGGGCCGCCCCTCCGGGGGCGCCAGGTCCCGCCCCCGGACCGCGGGCGCCGCTCGCCGGAGCCAGCAGCGCAGCCAACTGGGCCTTTGTCTGGGCCCCCAGCCCCCTCCGCGCGGGCCGCGGCCCAGCCCGGCTCCCCGCCAAACCCGGCCTGGAGTATAGACTAGGACGGGGCCGAGGCCCTCCCTCCATCGCACGCCGCTTCTGCACGCCCTCACGGACTGCCAGCCCCCTAAAACCACTTTACACCTTTCCACACTCCACATACGCGACTCCCCTCGCGGGCAACTTCCGAGGACCCTCCCGATTTCCACGTGCTCACACACGCACTCCTTACACATGCACCTGAGCACGTGTACACGCACTCACACCGACTTCCGCTCACAGGACACTTTCACACTCACAACTTTCACGTACTAACACTTTCATCTGCCACCCGTGAACACTCGGCGCAGTTTCACTCTTGCACCCAACTTTGACACACTAATAGTCTTCACAGACTCAAAAGAACACTTTCTTCAAAACGTTCACCTCTGCAGGCGACACAGTGGGCACAACTTACACACTCAGCGGCTCACATTCATATTCACATTTTCACACAGACTCACATATGTGAACCCCAAGACATGAAGCATTAAGGACAGATTTTCACACACAAATTCCTCACGGGCGCTTGCAGTTCACACAGAGGCCAACAATCTTCTCCGGTGCCTATTGGCCTTTATTTGTTACATTTTCTCACACACTAGCCACAGTGACTTGAACTGCCCCAGACACGTGCCATTTTCCACATAAATCATTCACAGACCAACTTTTTGATTCACATAAATCACAGCCCCAGTGCCAGAGACACACCAGCTCGCACATCCAGGCCCAGGCCCAGATGCTGCCAAAGCCCCAGTCACAGATGCTTGGGTGGTAAATCACAGTCCCTGATGATCCACATCTGACAGAGACCCACAGACAGCACACATGGCCACACCACCAGGCCACCCCACCGCCTACACTCAGGACTCCTTTCTGCCTGCTGAAAATTTCCGAGACAGCCCAGGCTGATGGGTGGAGAGAAAAGTGGTGTGCGTGTAGCTTAGAGGAAAAGCTTCTGAGTAATGATAGAGGGAGGAGAATAAAAACTGAAGTTTCCATTGTTTCCTCGAGAGTTGCTAGGTTCCAGAGACTCATGGCTGGGTTTGCAGCCAGGAGTGAGGTGAGCTGTGGACAGAAGGAAATGCCAAGCTAACTAGGTGGCACCAGGTCTGGCCAGTGTGTGTTCCCTGTAGTAGCAGCCTGCAATCTCCCAGGAACTCTGGGGCACCTGGGGATAGAGAAAATGCTAGCATCCTGACCCCCATCCAGATAGGTGTCCCATCTCCAAAAGATGGGGTTCTCCACCCTGTGGGACATATTTCTGGGGGACCAACTCAGAGCTGGTAAGGGGCAGAAATACATCCATAGTGGTTCAGCCAACTTCCTGTGTCCAACCCAGATGCCAGGCACAGCAGCATTAAATAAGGTCTGTTTCTTTTACATTTTATTTATTTTATTATTTTATTTTATTGATGTGAGAAAGAGAGAGAAACATTGGTGAGCGAGAAACATCGATTGGTTGCCTACCATGTGCACCAACCGGAGACCAAACCTGCAACCTGGGCATGTGCTCTGACCATGAACCCACCACCTTCTGGTGCACAGGACAACACTCCAACCAACTGAGCCACAGTGGCCAGGGCAAGGTCTGTTTCGAATTCAGACAGGGAGATAGGGGTGGACAATGAAGGGACACCAGATCTTGGCCCTCAGTGAACCCCCTAATCTGATGGAGGGAAAAGGAAGGATATTGTCCTCATTTTCATGTTTGCAGCCCAATGGAAAATCCTGCCTCTATCACTGCACTGCGCAGCCTTTAACAATTTATTCAACCTCTAGGTGTGTCTCTGTTTCATCATCTAGAAAAGGGGGATAATGCTAAAACTTCCCTCATAGTGTTAATAGAATTAAAATGAATTAATATACTTTTTAAAAGAACAGTTTCAGGCATATAGTAATCACTAAATAAGTGGTAGCTATTCCTCTTATTACTGTTTCTGGGTGAGCTCCCATTCTGAAGAGAGAGATACAACTCTGCCCTCAGGTGAGGGGTGTGGCTCCTGTCTGATGGAGGAGCATCTTCTGCACCCAGTGTGTTGCCCTCAGTCTAGATGCAACTCTCACCCCAAGGATCTCCAGTCTGATGGAGGACTACAGCCTTGTGCTTGAGAACTCCCTGTCTAATGAGGAAGGCTATAAAACTCTGCTGACTTCAGAGTTGGCGGGTGGCCAGCTCTGGTGGCAGGGTTTTTCCAAGGCCTTGCCTGTCCATGGAGGTCAACATCCATGACAAATCACATCTGTGAGCTGCCTCAGTGTCTGTTCCCTACCTCGGGCCCTTTAAGTCCCAGCTTTGGCTTCTTGGATGATTTGCTCATGAGCAAAGGAAAAAGGGGAACAAGGAACCCTTTGTAGATGTTTGGTCAAGACTAAACCCAAGCTATAAGTCTTGCTTCCGAAAGGAGGCTTGGGAAAGAGATGGTAAAGCTGACTGGAGACGGGAAAGAGCTGGGCTGACGCAGAGAGCAGGAAAATATGGCCTGTCTAGAAAGTCTTCCAGAGTAACTCCACCCCCCCTGAGAATTGGTCATCTACCTATTTATTCTGCATCCTCTCCCCACTAAAAGATTTGGCTGGCTCTGTTTTATTCTGCAGTCCTTGATATCTTTAGTAAATGTTCTCAAGTTGCTTTGTTTAGGGCCTGGCTTTCTCCTCATATGGCTTAGAAGAGGAGCAGAGGAGGCCTTCTGGGCTTTGCTGAGCCTGGGAGGCGCCTATAATTGCATTGTACTTACTCATAACTCCCGGTGCTCCTTACACTACTTGGGAAAGAAATAACTCAGGTCTTACTCAAGGTTCCTTAGATAAGCAGAGGCTATAAGAGTTTGGATAGGCAAGAGCAGCCAAACACTGGCTTCTGACAAACAGGAGTCAGGGGCCTTCTGGAACCAGTAGCCAGAGTTTGTGGGTCACCTGTATACTGCTCCAAAATTGACAGGACTCAACTTCTCCTGGCTTCCACTCCCTAGCCTCAGACCTTCTCACTCATTTCTTCATTCATTCATTCACCTGCAAAGCTGCAGTGGACAGTTGAGCAGGTTGTTCACTGAACAAGGGTATGCAGCCAAGTGGGCCTTGTTGTGGGGCTATATCTGTCAGAAGGGATACCTGTGTGTGTGTGTGTGTGTGTGTGTGTGTGTGTGTGTGGTACATGCCCCTAGTGGGAACCAAACCCGGGACTCTCTGGTATGCAGGCCGACGCTCAACCGCTGAGCCAAACTGGCCAGGGCCAGAAGGGATACCTTTTGCTAATATGAGCAAAGGAGCTGTATGGGCTAGCTATAGCTCTGCATTTATTCAATAATGAAAGTAAACATCTATTTTGCACAAAGGTCCAATGCCTGTGTGGGAAAACAGGTGCTGGCATGGGAAGGATATGTTATTAGGTGAGAATGTGGAATAGGAAATTGATATTGAGAGGGAATGGGGATGGAGGAAAGGAAACAAGGAGATGATAATGAGAAGAGGAGGAAGAGAGGAAGAGGAGGGAGAACATAGTTCTAAGCAGGTGGTAAAAGTTCCCTTGGACAGGAAGAGGACCCTGCAGGGCCTGGCAAGAAATAGTCCTGCCCATTTCTCCAGCCACATCCCTCCCCCAGGATGCTCTTTGCACATGCTGTTTCTCTTTGAGTGCTTTTTTCCCACCCAACACCCACCTCCCTTCACCCTACTCTCTTTCAGAATCCAGCTCAAACTTTATGTCACCATAGAGAGCTTCCCTAATCTCTCAGCCTAGATGATGTCCTCTGCTATACTTGTTATAATCCCCCACCCCTACCCATGCTTCTCTCTCTTAACATGTTTGACAATAGCAATAATTGGGAAGATCATTTAATATTAGGAGGCATAATAAAGTCAGGGAGCACAACTATCTGGTTTCTGACTTGTTCCTAACTATATCCCCTGTGAAGAGCACAATGCCTGGCATGGAGTTGGCACTTGAAAAATTTTACTTGAATGAAAGACCAAGTTGATTCAAGCATGTCATAAGGCATAAATGTCCCTCTTCTGGTCTGTACCTGGGACAAAGACAAACTCTTCACCGTTTGAATCAACATTGAATCTCATATGATCACTACCACAGTCCTGGGATTAAACGAGTGAGTGTATTACTTCCCTCTATCAGACAAGGAAACTGAGGCCCAGGAGATGAAGTGGCCTGCCTAGTTCACACAGGATCCACGTTCACGACTGTCTGACTCTAGAACCATTCCCAGTTCTGCCCCACGCCCCGGGGTGTTCTCAACTTTGCACAAGCAGAAGTGTGATCCCTTCTGATATCTCCCCAAAACCCCTCATCAATCACCTTCTTGCTATGCTCCTGTTGTGAGTCCCAGACCCAGGGGCAGGGTTCCCATACTGTGTCTTATGGATCACCTGCTCTCTGAGGTGCTCCTTGGAAAAGGGGTTCCCTGGTCAAGAAGTTTGGGAGTCTGCACTCTTTCCCACAATTTGCCCATCTCAAGAGACACCAACACAGGCTAGTTTCTGAGCAGACCTCCGGTGCAGTCGCCATTCAGCTCTGTCTCATGCAGTATTCCTTAACGTGCTCGAGATAGGGACCTCCCTTGTTTTTATGGAAAAACCTCTTAACATTTCATAAGACTTGTGTTTCTCATAACACACTTTGCACATACTGTCCCAGAGCCTAGCTCTTGAGCTGACCGTAAATGGTTT